TGAGGGGCACCCCCGGGAAAGGACCAGCCCCTTCCCTGTCCACAGGGAGCAGCTGTATCAAGTATCTGATCTTCTTCTCCAACTTCCTCTTCTCCCTGCTGGGGCTGCTGGCCCTGGCCATCGGGCTCTGGGGCCTGGCCGTCAAGGGGTCTCTGGGAAGTGATCTGGGGGGGCCCCTGCCCGTAGACCCCATGCTGGGGCTGACACTGGGGGGGCTGGTAGTCAGCACAGTGAGCCTGGCTGGCTGCCTGGGCGCCCTCTGTGAGAACACCTGCCTGTTACATGGATTCTCCGGGGGCATCCTTGCCTTCCTGGCGCTTGAGGCCCTGGCGGGGGCCCTGGTGGTGGCCCTCTGGGGCCCGCTGCAAGACAGCCTGGAGCACACCCTGCGTGTGGCCATCGTTCACTACCAGGACGACGCAGACCTGCGCTTCCTTCTCGACCAAGTCCAGCTCGGGCTGAAGTGCTGCGGGGCTGCCTCCTACCAGGACTGGCAGCAGAACCTGTGAGTCTTGGAGTGGGCGAGGGACAGGGCTGCCACAGGATCCCAGAGGCCACACACCCTCGTGTGTGTACACACAGTCACTCACATGTACACACTCAATTCGTGCATGCCCACATGCATGCACACGTATACCTACATGTACACACATATCCACACTGACACGTCTCGTGCTCACAGGTTTCACGCGTGTGGACACACACCTACACACTCCTCTACACTGACATGAACATGTTCTCATGTGCACACACAAAACAGCCTCACACTCAGGCACACACTCAAACTGAAACATGTTCATACACACACGTCATGCACACAAGGTACAGGGGTGCTTGCCTCTCCTTGTTCCTTGGGCTCAGGGCCCCAATCAGCCCTGCGGCCCCCACAGCCTCCAGTGTGTTTCTGTTCCCCCTGCCAGGGCCAGGAGGACTACTCAGGATCTTAGTGGAGAAGCTGAACCCACAGACTTAGAAAGTCATTTTTCTGCTGGGCACGATGGCTCACACCTGTAATCCCAGCACTTTGGGAGGCCAAGGCAGGTGGATCACCTGAGGTCAGGAGTTCGAGACCAGCCTGGCCAACATGGTGAAGCCCCCTCTCTACTAAAAACACAAAAATTAGCCAGGCGTGGTGGCAGGCACCTGTAATCCCAGCTACTCAGGAGGCTGAGGCAGGAGAATCACTTGAACCCAGGAGGTGGCAGTTGCAGGCAAAACCGCACCACTGCACTCCAGCGTAGGCAACAGAGCGAGTCTCCATCTCAAAAAAAAAAAAAAAAAAAAAAAGGCCGGGCATGGTGACTCTCACCTATAATCCCAGCACTTGGGGAGGCCGAGGCGGGCGGATCACGAGGTCAGGAGATTGGGACCATCCTGGCTAACATGGTGAAACCCCATCTCTACTAAAAAATAGAAAAATTAGCCGGGCGTGGTGGCGGGCGCCTGTAGTCCTAGCTACTCGGGAGGCTGAGGCAGGAGAATGGTGTGAACCCGGGAGGAGGAGCTCACAGTGAGCCAAGATCATGCCACTGCACTCCAGCCTGTGCTGGACTCCATCTCGAAAAAAAAAAAGAAAGAAAGAAAATGACTCTTAGATGAATTCTGGACATTATTCTGGAATCTGACTCCAAAGTTTCCCTCCACCGTGAGTGTGATTAAACGCTGTCCATTTAGGATCCAGTGCAGGATTTTCTTATGTTCTGCTTGAGGGTAGCTGTCTGTTTTTGGTTTTGTTTTTGTTTTTTGATGGAGTCTCGCTCTGTTGTCCAGGCTGGAGCGCAGTGGCTCGATCTCGGCTCACTGCAGGGAGGGTAGCTGTCTGTTTCATTAGCTATCCTCAGCACATGCACACCCCGAGCAGCACGTACTCTCCATGCCACACCCAGGACAGAGGATATGCACTCTGTCCCCCAAGCCTTCTTGGTGCAGGTATCAGGGGCAGCTGAACACAACAGATGAAGTCATAGGCGACCCTGAAAACTGGCCATCGGGACCCAGCAGTGGCTAACAGGTGGGGTCCTTCCAGACTCTGCGAAGCACCACATAGGTTGCTTTTTGGCCACATGTGACTGGGTTGGTGGCAGCCCCCCTAGAGTGTCGTGATGCCACGTCTGCTGCTGGCCTCGACCCCCTCCCCTGCCTAAGTGGAGAATGCTCTTCTAGAGTGGAGAGGGCATGGGGATGAGCCTGCAGGTCTGCTGGGCCTGTGTGCAGAGCCCCGGACACCAGTGGATGCCTAGGGCACCTGGGGACTGCCTGACCTGGGCTGTGATGACATCAACTCTCCCCAGCCACCCTGGGAGCTCCTCCCCTGCCCCTGCGTTCTGTCACTGCCGGGTACTGCCTCTCAAGCCCTTGCTCTTCCCAGTAAGACCTGTGGACTATTCCAGAAGCCTCTGCCAGAGTTTCATCCACCCTCCCCCGCTCCAACTCTACCTTCTCAATGAACTCAGCAGCCTCTGCGGAGGGAGGTCCTCTCATCAATGCTTGTCTGTTTCCCCTTCAACCGTCTCATTAAATATCCTCCTGCTAGTCAACACAGCCACCACCCCTACCTGCAAGTGCAGAGGACTGCCATGCACAGGGATACGCTATAGAGAGCCAGGTGCTGTGTGTGTCCGTGTGTGCAGGCGCGTGTGCGAATATGCGGATGTATGCACGTGTGTGCATGTGCCTGTGTGGCCATGGAAGGGTGAAGGTGGGTAGGCAACATTCACTTCTGTGCCTGGTCCCAGAAGAGCGGGCCCTCCCCGCCAGAACTGACGCCTCCGTGCGCTTTGCAGGTACTTTAACTGCAGCTCCCCCGGGGTGCAGGCCTGCAGCCTTCCTGCCTCCTGCTGCATCGACCCCCGAGAAGATGGAGCCTCTGTCAACGACCAGTGCGGCTTCGGGGTCCTGGGCCTGGATGCGGACGCAGCTCAGAGAGTGGTGCACCTGGAGGGCTGCGGCCAGCCGCTGCGGCGGTGGCTGCGCGCAAACCTGGCGGCCTCGGGCGGCTACGCAATCGCGGTGGTGCTGCTGCAGGGCGCAGAGCTCCTGCTGGTCGCCCGGCTGCTCGGGGTACTCGCTGCCCGCAGGGGCGCGGCGTCGGGCCCCAGAGCGCGCGGGGAGGACCGCGCTGGCCCCCAGAGCCCCGGCCCCGGCGCCCCGCCGGCTGCCGACCCCGCCCGGGGCTGAGCGCATGCCCTGGAGTCCGAGGCTGCCACGCACAGGGATACAGGGGGCACCCCCGTCCGGCTAAAACGCGCTGCCTGCGCCGCCGCCGCCGCCTGATTTCGCTCGGGCTTCCGGAGACTTCGCCGTGGGACCTCCCTAGCTTGCCCACGCCGCGCACTCTGCGTCCCCCACGCCAGCCGCCAACGGAGGGCGCCCGGCAAACCCACGGGGTTGGCGTGAGGAGCACGAGGGGCCGGAGGAAATCCTGGAGCTGACCCTCATCTCCAAACCCCCACTCCCACCCCAGCCGCACAGTTCCCACCTCCTGGCACCTCCCTCCCCTGGGGCTGCCACCCCTTCTGGGCTCGTGGTGGTGGAGCTAAGGTCCAGGCCTCTCCCTGCCGAGTGCATTTTTGGGGAGAGAGTAAATGTTTTATTGGGGTGTATCATTCACACAGTAAAGACACCAGTCTTCGAGGCAGCGTGGGGAAATTCTTACCCATCTAAGCCTGTGAATCCACCACAGGTCCGAGCGGGGAGTTCCAGCCCCTGCCGGCGCACTCAACCGCAAGCCAGCCCTGCTCTGACTTCATTGCCAGGGCCAGCGGGGCCTGTTTTGGGCTTTCACTGTAAGTGGAATCCCAGAGGGTCTGTCCAGAGTCAGATCTGGCCCTTTCTGTGAATGGACTGGTCCATATGAACAGGAGGCTACTGTGAGGGCGCCTGCTGCTGGGCCAGCTTGCAGAGCTCTTGCTTCCCCTGGATGTGGTGTCAGGAGTGGGATCTCTGTCACAAATGGGCATGTTTTGTTTTTGTAGTTTTGTTTTCAGACAGGGTCTCACTCTGTCACCTAGGCTGAAGTGCAGTGGCAGGGTCTCAGCTCACTGCAGCCTCTGCCTCCTTAGCTCAAGCAATCCTCCCACCTTAGCCTCCTGAGTAGCTAGAACTACAGGTGCCTACCACGACGCTCAGACAAATTTTTTTTTTTTTTTTTTTTTGAGATGGAGTTTTGCTCTTGTTGCCCAGGCTGAAGTGCAATGGTGTGATCTTGGCTCACCACACCCTCTGCCTCCCAGTTCAAGCGATTCTCCTGCCTTAGCATCCCAAGTAGCTGGGATTACAGGCATGAGCCACCATGCCCGGCTAATTTGTATTTTTAGTAGAGATGGTTCCTCCATGTTGGTCAGGCTGGTCTTGAACTCCTGAGCTCAAATGATCTGCCCACTTTGGCCTCCCAAAGTGCTGGGATTACAGGTGTGAGCCACGATGCCCAGCCTCATTATTGTTATTTTCAAATACAGAAAGGGTCTTGCTATGTTGCCCAGGCTGGTGTTGAACTCCTGGGCTGCAGTGATCCTCCCGCCTTGGTCTCCTAAAGTGCTGAGATTATAGGCATGAGCCACTATGCCCAGCTACAGCCAGTTTTAGTGGGCGCTGTCTAAGGACAAGCTGGCTGGGTGCTCTGGGGGAGTTGCTAGTGTCACTGTGCCTCAGTTTCTCTCTTGTGAGGTGGGAGTAGGAGCTCCAGCCTCACGGCGTGTGGCATGAGCCGTGTCCCATCTCAAATTCTCTGTGAGGCCTGCTCCAGCCACGTGCATGCTTCATTGACTATGGTCCCTGGGAGTGCACCAAGGCCTTCTGCCTTGACCCAGCCATGGCCTGACATTGTGTGTCTCAGGGCCACCAGCAAGGCTCAGTGAGGGTGTGAGCCCAAGGGCTGTCTTCCCGCTCAGTCAGGCCAGCCTCTCCTGCCCCACTGCCCACTGCCCACCCCTTCACCCACGTGCTCCTGCTCAAGTGACCCCACCACAGGTCCTGTCCCATGCACAAATATGCCACAGACAGGCGAGGGCACACTAATTTTATTTTGAAATAGGGACTGCAAGGGCGGGCTGTATTGAGAAGGATGGCCCCCTGCCGTGATGAGCGTGGGGCCTCATCTGCTCACTGTACACACCTGGAGTCCTGCTACTCAGCGTTTCCAAACCAAGGGCACCCACCTGGGAAGGGATGCAGAGAGAGGGAGCTCCTCTGCACCCCCATAGAGGCAGGACAGGGGGCTGGGGTGCAGAGGCACTCTGGGGACACCCTGCCCTGGCTTTCCAGCTGGGAGGAGGGGATGACCTGGGGTCCAGCAGGCTCCCGGGCTGGGGTGCACTTCCCGTTCTCCCTGGGAGGGGAGACTCGCCAAGCCTCTCTGCGGGTAGGACTGAGGGGTGGGCCCAGTGTTGAGCAGGGCCTAGCCAGCCCCTGAGGGGGCGTCCTGGAGGGAGGTGATGGGCTCCTGGTGACTGGTATTAATATGTAGGGGGGGACCTGAGGACACAATCCCACACTGGTGTCCAGGTGCCATCTGGGCTAGGGGGACTTCTCAACAGGAATCCTGAGCAGGGTTTAGAGCAGAGAGGGCAGGAGGGGGAGGGTCTGGACCTCAGCAGGGCCTGGTGCTAGATGATGCCATATTGGGCCAGCTCGTGCAGCTCCAGGTGGTTGAAGGCCTCCCAAGGGCAGATGACCGTGATGTCTGTGGGAGAAAGGGGCCTGGATCAGAGAGGATCCCATGGCCCAGGGACCCCCACCCCTGTGGCCCTGTTTCCCACAGCCCAGGTGTAGCCCTACAGTGTGCTGAGTGGGGGCGTGCAGACCCTGGCGTGGGGCCCTCCTCTGGGGACACACTGGCTGTAGGGGAAGGAGGGTGCGGCAGGTCCAGGGGAGGGAACCAGAGGAGGGTGGGGCTTGCTGAAGGGGGAGGAGGCAGCAAGGGGTTCTGTTCTTTCCCAGACCCCTCCCCTCACCTGGTGCAAGTGTCCCAAATGGGAACAGCCTCACCTTCCAGATCCAGTGGATCTGGAGCTCAGTGTTGGGGGAAGAAGTGATGGACAGGCTGGGGGTCTCTAAGTGAAAAGCAGGGGAGGTGGGGGCCGAGGTGGGCTGCATTGGGCCCTGGGCGTGCTCGGTGTGCCTGGGGGGACCTGGGCAGACCTCAGGTTGGCACTGGCAGCCGTCGTACCTGTTCCCAGGCCTTCCATTCCAGGGATGTCATCCCCAAACCTGCAAGGACAGAGCAGTCAGGGACATGGCGGGGCCCAGCCCTGGCTCAGTCAGCCTGAGGCCTGAGGTCATCTCTAGCCTTCCTAGGAGATGAGGCGTTTGTCTGGGAGCCCAGTGGGCAGAGACCCGCCTCCTCCCCAACCTCCTGGGGCTTGGTGGGCCTGGGGGGGCGTCCTTCACAGACCCACAGTGAGTCTGCTACCCCGAGCATCATGGGGCTGAGGCCCAGAAAAGGAGGTGCAAGCCCCAGGGTGCTAGGCAGGTGCGTGCCCTGAGGGAGTACGGAGGGGGTGCGTGGTTGGTGTACGGTTTGAGTGTAGATTTGTGAAGGTGGCTTGTCTGTGAGTGTGCCTCACGTGTGCACATGTGGCGGTATGAGCATGTTTGTGCACACACATGAGAGTGTCATGCCTGTGTGTGCACCCACGTGTAAGTGGACACTCCTTGGTGCATTGTGCCGTGGCTGTCCCTGGGTGGCAGTGGCTGTATTTTTTTTTTTTTTTTTGAGATGGAGTCTCACTCTGCCGCCCAGGCTGGAGTGCAGTGGTGTGATCTCAGCTCACTGCAAGCTCTGCCTCCTGGGTTCACACCATTCTCCTGCCTCAGCCTACCGAATAGCTGGGACTACAGGCGCCTGCCACCATGCCCGGCTCATTTTTTGTATTTTTCAGTAGAGACAGGTTTCACCGTGTTAGCCAGGATGGTCTCAATCTCTTGACCTCGTGATCTGCCCACCTCAGCCTCCCAAAGTGCTGGGATTACAGGCGTGAGCCACTGCGCCTGGTGGTTTTGTTTTTTTGAGACGGAGTTTCTTGTTGCCCAGGCTGGAGTGCAATGGTGTGATCTCGGCTCACCGCAACCTCTGCCTCCCGGATTCAAGCAATTCTCCTGCCTCAGCCTCCCGAGTAGCTGGGATTACAGGCATGCACCACCACACCTGGCTAAATTTGCATTTTTAGTAGAGACAGGGTTTCACCATGTTTGTCAAGCTGGTCTCAAACTTGCGACCTCAGGTGATCTGCCCGCCTCAGCCTCCCAAAGTGCTGGGATTACAGATGTGAGCCACGGCGTCTGGCCGGCAGTGGCTATATTTTCAAGCATGGTTGGCAGTAGCATCTGGAGCAGGTGACAGGAGCCCCCAGTTCCCCTTCCCCCTCCTCCATCCCTGCTCAGGCCCTCAGGCACCGCCCTACCTACCCCGGCTGTGAGGCTGGGATCACTCACCCAGTAAAGTGGCCCAAGGCCCTGCCGCGCCTCCCCTTCCTGTGCAGCTTTCAGAGGCCCCAGCCCCCAACTCTGCTTACCCTTGGACGCCTTTCTTTGGGGGCTTGCTCTTGAACTGCCTGGTTTGTCGCTGCTTAAATTTAGGGGGTCCTTTCCTGGGGGTGACAGGTCCCCCGACCACCCTGGTGGCTGACCGGAACTCAGCCTTGGGCGGCTCCAGGTTCATGGCGAGGCTGATGGAGACACCGTGGCAACCCTGGCTCCTGGACTCCCTCCTGCTGCAATCTGGGGACAGACCGGGCCCGGGTCTCAGTCAGCCCTCCTGCTTCCAACCCTTGTGGGGGTCTCAACCCACCGGTGGAGGGGCTGAGACCCAGCCCCACCAGCCCCAGCGTCATCCAGACGACAGCCCCTGCAATCTGCCCTGGGGCAGCTAGCCTGCCAGCCCTGCTCGGGCCGCCCACCGTCCACTGGCGCACTCCTATTCCCCTTGCCTAGTGGATGCCCCCCCAGCAACGCTGGCCACACACAGCTCCGGCCTCTCCCCTGCGTCCTGGCCTCCCTCACCCCACCCCACAATCCACAGCAAACCTAGCCTCCCAGCCTGGGGCAGGTCCTGAGCCTGGAGTCCTCACCGCCTCCCTGTGGGTGACCACTGACAACCTCCTGCCCCTTCCCCCGCATTCCCCACCCCAGGGGAGCATGACTGGGGAGCATTCAACTGCTACTCTTGTTTGTTTGTTTGTTTGTTTGTTTGTTTTTTGAGACAGAGTTTTGCTCTTGTCGCCCGGGCTGGAGTGCAGCAGCACAATCTTGGCTCACTACAACCTCCGCCTCCCAGGTTCAAGTGATTCTCCTGCCTCAGCCTCCTGAGCAGTTGGGATTACAGGTGCCCGCCACCACGCCTGGCTAATTTTTGCTTTTTTTTTTTTTTTTTTTGAGGCGGAGTCTCGCTCTGTCGCCCAGGCTGGAGTGCAGTGGCAGGATCTCAGCTCACTGCAAGCTCCGCCTCCCGGGTTCATGCCATTCTCCTGCCTCAGCCTCCCGAGTAGCTGAGACTACAGGCGCCCGCCACCTCGCCCGGCTAGCTTTTTGTATTTTTTTTTTAGTAGAGACGGGGTTTCACCCTGTTAGCCAGGATGGTCTCGATCTCCTGACCTCGTGATCCGCCCATCTCGGCCTCCCAAAGTGCTGGGATTACAGGCTTGAGCCACCGCGCCCGGCCTAATTTTTGCATTTTTGCATTTTTAGTAGAGACGGGGTTTCACCATGTTGACCAGGCTGGTCTCAAACTCCTGACCTCGTGATCCACCCGCCTCAGCCTCCCAAAGTGCTGATATTACAGGCGTGAGCCACCGCACCCGGCCCAGCTGCTACTCTGTTGAAAGTCCTCTGGGGCTCCTGCTGGGATTGGGATGAGACCCAAGTGGCCCCTCCCCTGCCTGCCCGGCCCTGCAGATGAGCCTCGAACGGCCCTTCCTGATGGTTAGTGGGGTGGGCTCCCTCCATCTCAGGTCCCCGCTCAGGGAGGCCTCCCCTGAACTGCCGCCCTGCAACCCCTGTGTCCTCAGGTTCTGATTTGCTTCTTCTCATCACGTGTCGTGTTAGCCCTCATTCTGGGCTGGTGGGCGTCTCCCCGGGCTGTTGCCCTCTGATTCTTATTGATGGGTTTATTGCTTTCTGCCTCTTGTCTGTGCTTTGCGGTTGGGGTGCTGTCAGTTCCCTTCACCCACTCATGGAGGGATCCCTGAGCCCCTCGGCACCATGACGGGCACTCCGCAGTGCTGATGGAAAATGACGCACAAAATGAGGGGCAGGGTTGCCGGGTAGGGCGACCCTGGGAAAGGGGCCTGTCTCAGAGACTCGGGGCTGAGCTGTGAAGTCCTGTGTCTCCCAACCCCACTTCACAGAGGGACAAGCTGAGGCTCAGGGAGGGAGGGTGCTGGGCGTCTGTCTCCCCTCCTGGGGAATCCCCAGGCCCTCTGTTCCTGGAGCCAGCTTGGGGAGCAGGGTCACCCGCCTGGCATGGCGTGGCTGAGTGGCCTCGGCTGCTCTGGACAAGGCCAGTGTCCTTGCACCACTGCACAGGGTGACCTCTCCTCCTCCTCTCCCTAGAGCCTCTCCCCAGATGCCCTAAGCCCCAGTGACCTGGGCCAAGGGCAGTCCAGCTTCCCCTAAGCCTATTAACAGCAGAGGGGGATTCCTAATCTCCTGGCGAGCTGCTGCCAGACGCACATGCTGCCAGAAGGTTCTGGAAGGAGGCACATGACAGGAGAGGCTGCTTGCCCGCACTCGATGCCCCAGGGACCACCTCTTAGGGTCCCCTTTCCTGCCCCTGGTCTTTTTCGCTGGGATTCCTGACTCCAGGCCTGGGCTACCACCAGTTGTTTGCTGAGCTTCAGGCGTGGGAGTGACCAGAAAGCAAGGGCAGGTGGCCCATTCCGGGGAGGAGGGCTCTGCAAGGGGTGCTGGGCACCTGAGATTGGGGTAGACCCTGCCATGGCGCCTTCCCTCAGTAAGGTTCAGCCTCTGTCCCCGGGACCGGGACCAGCACCAGCCTGCGCAAAACCAGGACTCAGGAGCCTGGTGGTCCTAGCTGCTCAGATCCCACGGCACCCAATCCTCATATCCTAGACAGCACAGGCCCCATCCAGCTGCTTCCCCAGCCCCAGGACATGGGCGGTCCTGGGCAGCTCTCAGCGCTGATGGAGCTCCAACCATCAGATGCCATCCACGTGGAAACCGCTGCCTGCACTGCCCGGGCCTGACCCAGCCTGTGACTGGCATCCACTCAGGTCAGCTGAGCCCATGTGGCCTGAGGTTCCCAGACCATCACTGGCTTGGGGATGGCAGCAGCACTGGTTACCATGGGGGAGCAGAGGAGGTGGTTGGCTGGGAGTCCTCTCTGAATAACAGGGTGGTGGGTAGGCTTCTGCAGACCCGGACCTCAGCCACCGTGGTAAAAGCCTGTCAGCTCCCTGCCCTGTGGGCGATGGGCAGACCCCCACTAACTCCCTGGGGGAGGTGGCTGCGAGGAAAGACAGCGGGGTTGGCCACTACTCACCAAGTGCAGGGCAGGTCTCAGGGGTCCATGCTATGAGTGCTGGGCCTTCCTCCGCAGGGTGCCAGCCCGGGCATTTATCTTGCTGCTTCGTGAGCTGATTAGGCGTCTCAGTGCCACGCTAATGAGATTGTTGGGCCCCAAGGGGGGACACAACCACCAAAGTTTCTGGGGATGGGGAGGAGGGGCTCAGGTGCCGTCAAGGGCTCCAAGGAAGGACACCTGGCAGATGGGGCCGGGACAGGGAGAGAAGTGTGACCCTGAACAGCCAGGATCCTGCAGCTGCCTATCTTCCAGATGGCAGCACCCACAGTGGCCGCTGTCTGGGGCCTCCTCACTGCCTTTCCTGACCCTGCCTGACCTCTGAAGAGCCCACCTTCGTGGTCCCCAAAGCCCTCGGCAGCCTGGCCCTCACCCACCGCTGTGGCCTCACATCGCGCCCCTCCCACCCCAGGGCCTTTGCACCTGCTGCTCCTGAAACCAAACAAGGACCCCTCTTAGGGGCCTGTGGGTCTCCCCAAGCACAGAAGCAAGGACAATGTTGAGTTCCTTCAAGGGCAATCCAGGCCCCCAGCCATCCCTGAGAAGCAAATGAGCAGCCAATCCGCAGGAAGGTCACGGCACACAGACCTCAGATGAGCAGGAGCTGAGGACTGGCCTCTGACAGCCCTTCTCTTACCTAAATTTCTTCCTGAGGGGCCTGGAAGAGGCCATGCCCAAAACCCAGAGCTAACATTCTTTCCTGCGGATCCCAAAGTTTTAGACAAAGCTTTGCCTCCACACCAAATCAGAAAACCTTTGAATCCACCTCTGACTCGTGGGCCCCAACTTCAAGATCTCCTTGCTATTTATGCCAAAACCAGTGTACAGCCTCTGCGTACTGATTTATGACTTTGCCTGTGACCTCTGCCTCTGCACCTTTAAAAACCCGTAACTCAGGCTGGCCGTGGTGGCTCGTGCCTATAATCCCAGCATTTTGGGAGGCTGAGGTGGGCAGATCATGAGGTCAGAAGATCTAGACCATCCTGGCTAACATGGTGAAACCCTGACTCTACTAGAAACACAAAAAAATTAGCCAGGTGTGGTGGTGGGCACCTGTAGTCCCAGCTACTCGGGAGGCTGAGGCAGGAGAATGGCGTGAACCTGGGAGGCAGAGTTTGCAGTGAGCCGAGATCATGCCACTGCACTCAAGTCTGGGTGACAGAGTGAAACTCCGTCTCAAAATAAATAAATAAATAAATAAATAAATAAATAAATAAATAAATAAAAACCCATAACTCGGCCGGGAGGAGTGGCTCTCAAACAGCACTTTGGGAGGCTGAGATGGGAGGATCACTTGAGGCCAGGAGTTCAGGACCAGCCTGGACAACATAGTGAGATCCCTATCTCTACAAAAAATAGAAAAATTAGCTGGGTGCAGTGACTCACTTCCTATTTAATTTATTTATATTATTTTTGAGACAGAGTCTTGCTCTGTTGCTCAGGCTGGAGTGCAGCGGTATGATCTCGGCTCACTGCAACCTCCACCTCCTGGGTTCAAGCAATTCTCCTGCCTCAGCCTCCTGAGTAGCTGGGATTACAGGTGGGTGCCACCACACCCGGCTAATTTTTTATATTTTTAGTAGAGACAGGGTTTCACCACGTTAGCCAGGATGGTTTCAATCTTCTGACGTCGTGATCTGCCTGCCTCAGCCTCCCAAAGCGCTGGGATTACAGATGTGAGCCACCGTGCCCGGCCACAGTGGCTCACTTCTATAGACCCAGCTACTTGGGAGGCGAGGCAGGAGGATCCCTTGAGCCTAGGAACTTGAGGCTGCAGTGAGCCGTGGTCAAACCACTCCAGCCTGGGGGACAGAGCAAGGCTCCATCTCTGAAGAAATATGAAAATTTTGAAAAATTAAAAACAGGCCGGGCGCGGTGGCTCAAGCCTGTAATCCCAGCACTTTGGGAGGCCGAGACGGGCGGATCACGAGGTCAGGAGATCGAGACCATCCTGGCTAACACGGTGAAACCCCGTCTCTACTAAAAAAAATACAAAAAACTAGCCGGGCGAGGTGGCGGGCGCCTGTAGTCCCAGCTACTCAGGAGGCTGAGACAGGAGAATGGCCCGAACCTGGGAGGCGGAGCTTGCAGTGAGCTGAGATCCGGCCACTGCACTCCAGCCTGGGCGACAGAGCGAGACTCCGTCTCAAAAAAAAAAAAAAAAAACAAAAACAAAACCTGGCCGGGCACAGTGTCTCCCGCCTGTAATCCCAGCACTTTGGGAGGCCGAGGCAGGTGGATCACCTGAGATCAGGAGTTCAAGACGAGCCTGTCCAACACGGTGAAACCCCATCTCTACTCAAAATACAAAAATTAGCTGGGCGTGGTGGCGGGTGCCTGTAATCCCAGCTACTCAGGAGGCTGAGGCAGGAGAATCGCTTGAACCCAGGAGGCGGAGGTTGCAGTGAGCCGAGGTCGTACCACTGCACTCCAGCCTGAGCAACAGTGAGACTTCGTCTCAAAAAATAATAATACAAATATAAATAGTAAAATAAAATAAAATGTATGAGTACTCCTTTCTTGGTATCATGTATCATGGACAACATACAAACACATGAAAATACATAAAGCTCCAAACAGACCTAAACAAAGACCCTATAGCCTTGATTTTAAAACTCTAGCCATGAGACTGGCAAAAATCGCTAGTCCAGAAAGGACAGCTGGATTCCAGTTATGCCACAATAAATGGAATAAGTCA